ATTTAGGCTACTAAATTTTCCAGGCCAACTTGCAAACACGCACCCAAGTAAAAGCACACTAAATAAATTGCTCAACCAAAACGGCAGTTTTACCCATGGAAAAGGAAAACTAGGTACTAACATAGAAGTGAGTTGTTATCGTTTTAGTAACTTTGTCTTTTTATCAGGGTGACTAAGTTGGACACACCATGTCCGAATTCCTTCCAACCAACCTTCCCCTAGAAATGGAGAATCATGTCACAATATATAACTAACGAATTCTTCGAAACTCAATTTTTCCTCATATTTTCGAAGTACATACGGTTTTCATTGTTTTCGGAATTCGTCGTTAAATACAAAAAACCAAAGCAATGTTGGCAAGGCAAGTTAATCACATTCGTTTTTAAAGGTTTGCTCTACTCGTATGAATGAATTGAAGTTTAAGGAAAGACATTGCCAAAAAGTGAAAAATCTGTCCCAAACTTTATTGAAGATTTCTACTGAGAAGTTCCTAGCAAATGGTTAAAACTTTGCTTTCCAAATGGCAAGGACTTCAAAGAGGACATTTTGATAGAATTGTCAAATTTAACGGAACGTTTCCCAGAGGATACGAAAAGTGACATTGAGTTACAGATTGCCCCTTTAATTGATGTCCATATAGAAACAACATACAAAAAGTAGAAAGTTAATACTATAATAACGGAGCTTAGGACGAATGGCCAAATAGTATTAAGGGCAGACAGTAGTAGGTATGGGTGGGACAGATTATGTAGAGAAAATGTTGGAGGCATTAGACGATGATACAGCATATAAAACAATAATTATGGATCAGAGGGAAGGCCTTAAGATGAGACTTAGGAATCTTCTACAACAATGAGTAAACATTAGAAAATTGTAAAAGTGGAAAATGAATGCCCTTATCCAGCGAGATGCCAGACCCAAAGCGCATATTGTCTGCCCAAAATCCATAAACAAGGTACTCCACTTAGGATTATTGTAAATAATAGAGGTAGAATGATGCATAACACATCACGAATTATACTTGCGTATTTAAAAAAAATCTCAGATACTTGGAAGTTATGAGTAAAGAATTGTTACGACATCATTAAGTTACTTTATGATCAGACGATAGAGGAAATTTGCTGGTAGGTTTCGATGTCGTGTCTATGTACATTAACATTCCGATAAAGAGAGTCAATGAAGGCTTTAGAGTTAACCCTAAATCAACATCCTAAAATTATAAAAGGTAAAATGTTGGGCAAATATTCAATCATAAAAATAGACTATTTGGCAATTAATAATATATATTTTACCTTTAATAGTAAGTTGTATGAGAAAACACGAGGCTTGACAATGGGATCTTGTTTAGGCCCTATTTTAGCTAATAACTACATGGCTCAACTAGAAGTTCGTGTGTTTCAAGAGGCACTCCTAGTTCCCAAGTTGTTAGTTCGTTATATGAACGATTACTTTGTTGATTGTAACACGGCAAATATAGTTTGGGGGAATTACTTGAGCCAATTACTAGAATAGATGCAAACATTGAGTTAACCAAGGAGATAGGAAAGGAAAATAAATTGCCGTTTGGGGATGTGTTTGTGAGTAAACAAGGTAATAAGTTAGGTAGAGACGTATACAAGAAACCCAATCACGCGGGTTTCCTTATTAATTTTTTCTCGAACCATACATATAGAGTAGAAATAGGAGTTATAAAGCCTACGCTAATAAGGAGTCTACGTCTAGCAGATGCAAACCATAAGACCAGTAGATTGGTATATTAAGGGTTATACTGTTTCAAAACAATTACCCATTATGATTAGTAGAAAATTACTTATAAATTGTAGTTAACAGGATTATAGGAGTTTGCTATCAGGTGCGGGATAGTTAACTGGACAATTCTATTGGGTTTCTGATTTTGCCTTCCTGTCAGCTTGTGAAAACGTTAAGGTAACCTACTGAGGGAATGGATCATAAAAACAATGTATAAAGAGAAATTAACACTTTCTGCAGTAGTTCCTCCGTTTAGATAATATTCAAACCCTCTTTCTAGATCAGGCTGTTATAAAGTTTTGTGCTCATGTGGTAAGGTATGCGGGGGAGACCTGCCGAACCATGTATAAGAGACTATGCGAGCCCAAAACCACTTTTAAAGACCTGTGAATCCAAAAATATGAGCTTGCTGAACACATGGCCAATACAGAACATTCAATAGACTGGTCAAAAATACAATGTTTTACAGGTTATGAGGACTTGACATCAAAACGTGTAATTATTGAGTCTATAAAAATAAACAAAACAGCCAACGTCTTGGATAGGAGGAACAAGTGTGAAAAACTGAGTAAGAACTAGTTGTGGTTGTTGGATAGACTTAAGGAGAGGGAGCGAGAGGGAGTGCAGGAAGAACTACTAAGAGAAGGAGGCTGGATTAGCCTCGAGTCTAGCTAGAACTATAACACATCCCATCACATGCGCATTACATACACACAATTGACAGTAGCACAAACCCAAGCATGATTCAACAGTTGCATCGGGGTCGCGGGACGGTGAGCCGAGGACTTTTCCACACACTTCAGCAGTCTTCTCTACGCGGCAATCCTCCTTCGGTTTCCGATGAGATCATATCACGAATTGCTTCCTACCAACTTTCCCTTTTAAATGGACAGTCATGTCACAAGACTTAAATGGACCATGTCCGAAGTCATCTGCTATTCTCAGCGTCAGACCGTGGACTTGGTTCATTCTCGGACGTTTCGCAGGAATCTTCAATGAATCTTGCCATTCTTAATACCAAGAAGACAATTCTTGGTGCAGCAAGATTGAGTTGCGAAAATGAGGTCAATCTAGTTCAATACATAGAAAGGAGACTGCGACCATACCGAGAGACACACCATTTTGGTCTTAATATCTTCGATAGACACTAGTATGTTCGCAGTTTGTCCAAATTTAGGCTATCAAGACTACAGTGAAATTGAAAGTGAAATGTAAAAAGTAGTGGAAAAGGATTAAAACAGCAGTCCTTCAGCAAAAAAGTAGTTAAGGACACCAAAATTATATTTTATCTTTGGAGATGAGTATCGGATAACTAAGGCATAGAAGATATTACCAACTTGTAGATCGCAGAAATTCAATCCTTGTTCGGCGTCTCTTCAAAGAACATAAAATCCTACGGGTTAAAACAAGATACATACATAAAAACATGTGAAAGTCGAGTCATACTTACGCACTCTAAGCTCCTCATTTAAAAGCCTCTATGTATAAATTGAAAAATTCAAATTGTCAATAGAATATAACAGGCCAATGATAGAAATCATACCGGAACAATCAGGAACCTAAATTGAGCCCACCATTTTGTGATGAGATTTAGCCAGAAACCAGAAATCCTACTTGTATACGTTTCGACTTATGCAATAGGCTTTAAGTATAGCTGTGGTCATAATGAGGCTTTTGTCTCAAATTGAATAGTGATTCTAATACTTTTCGAATAAAAGCTAAAGAATTGTAATTGCCCACTTCGTTCTTAGGTAAAAGATGGAACTTATTGGATGCAAAATATCACGAAATTCATAGAGAAAATTGAGCTATTCTCAAATTTATTTAGAAATATTAAAAAGCAAACCCGAGAGATAAAGCACTTTAGTATGTGATATTAAACTTAAGAGCTAGCTAGCTAGCTCTATATTGCAGAATTGAATATAAATTCGATAGTAAAACCCCAAAAGTATTTTTTTTGTAAAGACACTTCTCTTTTCTATGTTCCTTGGTCTGATTTATTTATATATACATATATATACATAGAAAGAGAGAGACCAGGTCGTGACTATCGTGGACATATTTCCACTCCACTCCACAGCCAAGGATGTAAGTCACATAAGAGATGTGATGTTCAAGGCAAGCCAAGCCTAGCCAAGCCTAGCCAAATCATGGTATATTGGAAGCATCAAATAAGCAAGCATTCATTTGTCATTGCAGTTGACTAGGTTACTTATTTTCGGTATATGTAGGTCTTGAAACCTTCTCATAAAAAAATTTTAGGTTTCATTTCCATAAATCTATTGGAAGATGTTCATGTTTCTTATTTCTCACAAGTTCTTTTAAACTTCGCCTAAGGTTGGTTCAGGCATGGAAACGTCTTCTTTTATATGAAACGCTTGTAAGAAAAAGCATGCTCTCATTTCAGGAGGCCAAGGAGACAAACAGCATAAAGTATGTTGCCCATCAGTGGCTCCGGATAAGACACGAGTGAATGACAATTATCTCGAAACACTGGAGCATAGGCACAATCCAAAACAGATAAAGGAGAAAGACGAACTTACAATAAGGAAAACGGCACCCAAAAGGCTGGCCTTGACTTTAACGTCGAGATCCATGGGAAATTGGATGCCAAAATTGTCTGCGTCGGTGAAAAGTTCGTGGGCCAGACCAGTCCACTGTTTTGTGATTAAGCCGATATCAGTCGTCTTCTCTGCCGTTTTAATCTAAAAATATGATAAGATAATAGACAGTATGAAAGGCGCAAAATTAATAAATAACGAATAAAACGTCTGCTAGTTTCTGTTCAACAAAGCTTGTTCAAAAATACTCAATAAAAAACTGAATTATTTCGAGTTTTCGAATTAAAAATAGTAAAAGGCCAATTTAATAGTTGAAAGAAGATGACAATTACTTGTTCACCGTTTGTGATAGAAATGTAATTTTATCCAAAAGTAGTCTTGATGACACTTCAAACCGCGGTTAACCAGTCGATCAGACCCTGGAAACAAGCCTAAACGCTAGCACATATGTCATTGTAGAGAGATTAAAGATAGCGAACTAACCAGAATGGCGGATAAAGCCGATTTCAATGAGGATTAGCAAAATTACTAAAGTGAACGCCCTCCTCCTTCAACTCAAGTAGTATTACGACAAAGGCCGAACCACTGATTATATAGATGCTTTCGTGTTATACTTAACTTTTTCGATGGGAACTGATGAAGGAATTCGTCGGACCGTTCTACCAGATGACTATTTCCGACTACCCTTGGGTCGCCATTTGTATGTTTGGTTATTAGTGCATCGTGCCCCGACTGATGAATGCATACTGAGCACTCGTCTGCTGTCTAAGAGGCATCTCCAAAGGGAGCTCTTATCCTCAGATTCATTCCAACCCGGCACTAGGCGAATAAAACCCCTTGGGGCATAATCCAAGCAGCCCCGAATAATTTTCTGACAAAGTATGTTGTGATTTGGTCCTGTGGCCTATAAAGAGATATATGTAAACTTGATATGGTAAAATGATGCATTCTCAAGTCCAAGATGATAGCCTCTAAGTGTTCATAATCTTCCTGTAAAAGAATAGATGTATTTATATTCTTTTCAGCGTAAAGCCAGTTTCTCACCAAGGATTTCTAGTAACACCTGAGTCTGGACCCTATTTGACTATTCCTGATTTCATAATTTGGCCATCTACTTGAGGCCGCATGTGTGCAAAATTAAATATGAGCCTCTCTAGACAGTCTTCCTAAAAAATGAGTATCCTGTGCTGTAGTAGGTAAAATTTATTTAAACCTTTCGGCCTGTTGATTAAGTTAGTATTCATTAACAGATTTCAAAATGTAGAGGAAAAGTACAGATATTCTGCCCTTGATATAAAGAAGAATCAGTAATATTACGTACTGAAAGGTTTACGTAAGCCGTTTAAAAAATACCTATACAATCTTTGCCAAAACTGGTAGTAAGCTATGCTTGGTATGAATGATAGACACCAAAAAACAGGTGGTAAGCGATCTAACATTTAGCTACAGGCATAAACTCACTTCTGTAGCGCCTCCTAGATGTCCATCCAAGATGAAGGCACGAATCGAAATGGCCACCTCT